ACTCAGCGACAAAATGTGTCCCGTATGCAAAAGCCATTGAAATAACCATCTATTTAATGCAGAAACTAATTATACCCTACAACAAAGTTACGGTGGCGCGCGTTGAAAATACAAGTCAATATTCTGCTGAAATTTAGTGTATATTAGTTAAGAACAGAACTAATTATCTTCTCTTATGAATTTCGATTAACGTTTGTTTCCTCGATACACGTTAAAAGCTATGGCGTAAATTAATAAATCAAAATGGCATCGCATTATGGGAAGTTTTGCTTTGAGGCGGTGTTGACTCATATTGATAGTAATTTAACTATAAACAGTACTTCACAGTTTTGCAATTTAATTAAATAATATTTTTTGAGTAAATTAAGGCGATTTAAGAGATATTTTAAAATGCACGCACAACCTACAGACAGCTAAAAGGCGGTGGACACGACATATGCTACTAGAAAGTAAAGACGCATGGTCTAAGGTTGTACCCGAGAGATAGCAAAAATAATGGAGGTAGACAAATTAAAAGAAGAGGAGATAACTTCAAGAAAATGTCTGATCCAGTATGGACTGGTTTGGCAAAGGACAGAACTGCTTGAAAATCTTTAGATGAGGTCTGTGGCGACAAACAAGCTGTGGCACACAAACATCCAGTTGCCGATAATCTAAACTAGAATTAGAATTAAAAGTTAGAACGTAGGCATACTATGAACTTAATTTTATTTATTATTGCCTAGTGTGGGGACCGCGTTAAATATTTATCTGATAAGATCGGCTACACTTTTTTTATGTCTTGTTAAGCACTCTTGTAATTTATTTTTCTTTGTTTCTAAATAAATATTTTTTTCATTTTATAATATATTCATTGTAAGAAAGTTAACAGCAATAAAAGCTGTTTTGTTTTATTTTTATTTATTATTTGTTTTTTTGGTGACGAGCTTAAATTAACTCTAAAAGAAAACGAAATATAGCGTGTACAGCATCCACTTAGTACTAGGTGGTTCAGAAACGTGTTCGACTCCCACCACAACCGTCTCTCTTTCTCAACCTTTACTTAAGGACTTTGTTTTCGGGTTTCCTTTTAAATAATAGTTTAAGTTATTTAAATAAATAGATGAAAATTGATAAATTAGATAGACTTAAGTTTAGAGAGAAGAGGGTAGTTTCCCAGAGACTTTTCTTTAACCTACGTTTTAACCTTTTTTTTTTTTATTTATAATTTTACAAAAACATTGGCAGTTGAGATGTATAGGAGAAAAACTCTTCAAACACAACGTTAAGTTTACGGGAGTTAAACTCACACTTGACTGATTTACGTATTAGACAGCTTAACTGACTGAAGAAACCTGTAGAAACTCAATTGAATTGTTCAGACCATAGGAAGATCTCACACTTGTAACACATTCGCCAACCACAAGTAGTGCCTTCCTACCTACGCACTATTCATAACTGTATAGGAATATTAAGGAAGCGTTAATTTGAAATATGAATAAATAATTTACATCTATAGGAGTCGTTAAATTTAATATAATTTAATTTGTTCGATCCCTAGTTAGTCTCGCATGGCGTTTTCTAAAGGTTTCGTGATGAAGTTTGTGAGTAAAATAATATGATAAAAGTTGGAAATTTTAAATTAAATAAGTTTTTTTATGGTATTGTGGAGGAACGGATGTCATGTCCCTCCAACACAAAGGGAGGATCCTCCGACCAGGCGAGGTGATCATGCCTGGCGGACTGCGGACCTCCGGAGGGACATGACACCCGTTCCTCCACATTGGTGACCCCGACGTGATCACTGTGGAGGAACGGGTGTCATGTCCCTCCAACCGACTTCGTTGAAAGGCGTATGTGCAAATTGTGTGATTGCCACAGCATAAGGGGGCAAACGAGCAGTTGGGTCACCTGATGGTAAGCAAATACCGCCACCCATGGACACCTGCAACTCAAAAGTCACAAGTGCGCTGCCGCCCTTGGAGTCAATCTCGCTCGAGTCAGCGGGAAGGGGGAATTTGGACTCCGGTAACCTCACTCACTCAGTAAAAGGCAACGAAAGAATTGCTTAACACCGTTTTTCTGTGGTATCACTCCCGTCGATTATTTCCATATTTATATAATGTTTGTTTGAACTTTAAAGTTCTGAAGTAGATACTTTAGCTGTATTAAGTCTCCAATATTTTACATCAAATGCAGTAGAATTGGCAAAGTTTCCAAATTTAAATACTTATATGCAGTCTGCGAACTCAGTTAAGTTAAAGCATGTTAACCCGTTTAGATTGCATTATTCTTGGAATCTCGAGTACACTTTTCATTTAGTCTATAAAATGCTTATAAAAAAATTTGCTAAACATACATAACTTGTAGTTAGCAGCTTTGAGTCTGGAAGTAGAGAAAATTCAATTCAGTCTTGTTTGTGATGTCGGTGAGTGGATGCTCTTTTTATATTGACGACCGAATGGCGTAGTGGTTTGTGTAACGGACTGCTATTCCAAAGGTCGCGGGTTCGATTCCCGCTCAAGTCAAACATTTGTGTGCATGAACATTTAAGGTTTGATAATAAGTATGTATTTACAAAAAAAAAGTATATATGTATTTATATCAGTTGACTAGTAGCCTTAGTACAAGCTCTGCTTAGTTTGGAACTAGATGGCGTTGTGTGAATGTGGTAGAAAAAAAAATTGCTTTTGTCAAACAGAACAGTTTGATATACATTTCTTACTGTTTCGTCCGCAATAATCAAGTTCAAGTTCAAGTAACATTAGAAATTGAACAGACTAACAAAAAAATAATATCGCAATCTGTACCCCTTACTTAGATAAAACAGATAATTTATCGAAAAAATCTCCAAAACATTACCAACATTAACATGTGATTTTGTTACTTATAGGAATTTGAACAAATGAATAGACGATTTCCAATAAAAAAAGTAAATAATGATTAGATTTTAATGTAGACAAAGCATTTCTTTTATATTAGGATCTGGTTATATTTCAGTTATAATCCAACCAAAGGAAAGTCCGTGTATAACCATGACATAATCGATTAATTTAGATCTTGGCCACTCGTATTTTATTACTCCTGTAAAATTATTAATATACAACCTCGTTTGTTTCGGAAACACAAAATTCACTCGCTTACGTAAACACCATCGATCATGCCATTATTTATTTACCCGCCAACCTCATGGCCTCAAATTTGGTTATAAATCGCATCAAATGACGTCAGCGGGCACGTCAGTGTCCCTAATTTGGTTTACGATTGACTGCCATGATTTATGGGAAATCCAATTGAGATAATAATACATTTTGTTATCAGTGTGAATCACACTCATTATATACGTGGGAGCAATGACTTCTTCATGAGCGAACACCAGATCTGAATAACAGCTGTCATGTATTAGAAAGTAGGTTTACTTCTAGGCATACAACCTAAACCAGAGATTCCAAAAGTGGTCGATATCGAGCCCTTTACAAATCAGTTTCCCGGGGGTCGACATAAACGACCTGATTTTGGGAGTCGACGAGGTCTAAAGATTGACCCCTATTAATTAACACAAGTTCTCATTTGAAACTTTTAAGATACTATATTAGTTGTGTGACGTATACCAACTTTTTATAAGAATGACTAATATTTTAGTAGGAAGTATCAGGGTCACTGCAAGGGGGCATTGCAAAAGATTTTGACTGATATTCTAATAGCCGGCCGTCTACCTCACGCCAACCCTCCTTAGGATATAAAACCCTCCGACGCCAAATTTGTGGTGACGGATTAAGAGTACCGAGTGTTACCGACCTTATTTATCCTGTAGAGCTGACTAAGGGAACAAACTGCGCAGGACAATAGCACTGCAAAGAGAAGGAAAACTTGAAACTTGAGCTTGAGCTAGGATACCAGGGTCCTATGATTAAAGATTTGTGAATTCCCAAGTCCGTGTGATGACGGATTAAGAATACGGAGTTTCCCATAGGTGTCGTAAGAGCAGACTTAGAGAGCAAACTCTGCAGAATAACAGTACTGCAAAGAGAAGGAAAACTTGAAACAAACCCTATATCCACGCATCTGGCCATCGTAGGCCAATTTCCAAAAGAGAGGCGTATGTCCAGCATTGGACTAGTATAGGCTGTTGATGATGATTGATGATTAGGAAGACCATTAGGACAGGATATAAACTGTACTATTATATTCTCTAACTAGTACCGACTCTTTGGCTTTTTAGGATTATCACAGAATAGCAAATAAAACGACCACAGATCCATATTCTAAATTAGTTTCAAGCACACATACACATTTTGTACTGTTACAAATGCTATAATTATAATTCACAGAGGATTGCAATCAATCACGCCCAAAACGACTGAACTGATCTGGTTCAAATTTAGCACAGAGATAGACCTAATTATGGAATAATACTTACGCTATTCATCCTGACAAAATCGACATAAACGCAGCTAAATCGCAGGATCCAAAGCAGGAGAATATAAACGACATAGGTTTTGGCCTACTATACCACGCTGCCCAGACGGGTTGGTATAGTAGGCCAAAACCTTCTTTCTAAGGAGAGGCCTATGACCAGCAGTGGACTATTAAAGGCTGTTGATGTGATGTGTGTGATATTCATAAATATATTGTTATCGTATATTATGAATATCAGTATAGTATTAAACCAGTTTTATTGGTCTGTATTTGAAAACAAACTGCAGATTTCCATAAATTTGTTTTAAAATCGTAACAAAATGCGTCTCTGAATAGGAACGCTGAATAAATTCAGTTCACCAAACGATTCGGTCGCATTATTCTCAGAGAACATTTTATTTATCATGCAACTATTGTTTTCTTGTTTTTCAGTTTATTTCAGTTGGACAACATTTCGTATTTACCTATATAATAACAAGACAAAACAGTTCAATACCGTTTGACAAAAGAATTAAGAAAAAAAGTAAAGTAGGTAAAAATAATAATGTTTTTAACTTTTTCTACATATAAACGAATGTTTTTAAAATAATAAATGCTTAATGATGGCACTGGTTCAAAAAGAAGAAAAAGGTTAGAGTACAAAAAATGATATAAGAAAATTCTGATACCCCACAAAAAATTCTTAACATTCTTCATTGAACTATCGTTACTAATTTATGTATTACTCTTTTATTTTCCGTGTGGAACTCCCCTCGGATACCACCTCATGTGATTATTTCTGACTCAAACCGACCAAAAACTACACGCCCTCTCCAGGTACCAGTAGCCGGGGAACCAGGTGTACCCTAGAAAAGAAAGCTCTGGTACCCCGACGTACCTCGGGCCTTCTACGGCTTAAAGACGACCCCTCCTGTGTGGGAATCCGGATGTTCCCATCCTGCCCCGAAGGGCGTGCGCGCTTTGTAGCGCGCTCAGGCTGCGTTTGTGGAGGACGGACTCGCTCTGCGACCTCCGGGGCCCGAGCCGTCTGCTTTACCTGGCCCGTTCACGGGCCTGGCGAGCCGGAAGGGTTCTGAACCTCCCGGCTCCCGTGATTCCTCTCAAGCTAATCCTCCATAACGGGTCTTACCGCCGCGATAACGTAAATTTATGTATTACTCTGTCATATGTATATGTAGCTTCGAGATCAAAAAGTCAAATAATTTAGTTATTAAAATTCGAAATTTGCTTTCAGATCCTGACGGCTCAGACCAGAAAGTGTCAATAATGTTGAACGGCGAGGAATCTGAATTATACTTCGTCAATTGCACATCAGTAAAGGTAATTTGATTTAAGTAATGACTAGTTACAATGATAATTCTAATAAATGATTTGATTTTAGTATTTACTAGAAATAATAATACTTATTATTGTTATTTACTGCAAGGATGGTGTAGTGATTTAAGCGGTCGCCACGCCCACTTCCTACTCCTGAGTATTGTGGGTTCGATTCTCACATAGGACAACACTTTGTGTGATCCACAAATTGTTGTTCTGAGTCTGAGAACTAGGATTTAAGTTACTAAGGTCATCAGATTTTGTAAAATGATGAATAATTTTTGTGATAAATTAGTTTTGAGCCGTTATTTTTGTTTATACATTCTCAACGCGTTTTTCTTTTCTTTAGAGGAGTCATCTTTTTTTTAACTGTAATTTAACTCAGTCCCTAGCTTAGAAAGTAAATTCCATTTGGTCTTCGGTAATCATTCACCAGAACTCAGTAGCACTACCAATTACAGGAGGAAATAGAACGAGCTGAGCCCCCAGACGCATTCGTGGTAATATATTCGGTAGTGGACAAGGCATCCTTCCAGAAGGCGGAGCAGGATCTGATCAAGCTGATGGACAGTGACATGCTACGCTCACGGCCTGCATTACTAGTAGCAAACAAGATCGACTTAGCAAGGAGTCGAGCTGTCTCCACACAGGGTAAATAAGTCAAGCTAAATCAAGTACTTCTAGTTATTCTCTCAAGACTCTCCTTAGTCATTCTTTACTCCGTCTTGTCCTCTCCATCTATGTTTTCTTAAATCACTCCATTAAAACTGTTATGTCTGCGAAAGATGCACTTCCTTGCGGGATATAAGGGTGAGAAATTATTCTACACGACTTACTGTACTGTACTGTACAACGTATAGTGGCCGAATGCTTTGCTACATTGCTACCTTCCAGTTACAATATATTAAACCTCCACCACGAAACAATAATTGACTACATAAATACAACACAACTTTTTTTTTTTTTTGATTACAACAGAAATAAAAGTTCCGACCTGAATATATATCTATGTTGTACGTATATACACAATGTATGTTTATATAATATATAGTTATATTATCAATGTATTTCAACCCAAACTCAACTCTCGCTTAAACAGGAGCAATATATGTATTCTACCACATACACACAACACCATCTAGTCCCAAACTAAGCAGAGCTTGTACTATGTAGATACTTATATACAGAGGTGTCGGTAGCGGTAACAGTGTCGCGAGTTCATTGGGCTTTTCCATCTCAAAAAATACATAATTTTTTTGTTGTTCAAAAATTTCCAACGCACCTAAAGAAGTTTTTAATTCAAAAATTAATAATTTAGTTTGCTGTACTTCTTCATATATATATAATTTAAGTATCATATTCCTCCGTCTGAAAATTTGCTAAGACATAGTACAAACATTTCGCGTCCCGTTCAGATGTAACGGGGAGTAATTATCCCACTGTTTGTAACATTAAGTTTGAAATGCATTCCTTCTATCAAAAATTTTAACCAACACATCTTATATTTCTCGCATGACTTGAGAACAGTCAACATATAAACTAACTCTTTAAAATTGTAATTATTATAGTTTAAGTTAAAAATATAAAACAAAATTACGGAAACGCAATAAATATTGAAAGAGGATCGATTACTTTTGCACATAAGCCGTATTAAAACTCATGTGCAATTCGCACATACTCCTAGAAGATAATTTTCCGCGTCGCGTTAACGAGAACATCGCACATACTCCTAGAAGATAATTTTCCGCGTCGCGTTAACGAGAACATCGCACATACTCCTAGAAGATAATTTTCCGCATCGCGTTAATGAAAACATCATCCATCGATAACTACCTTATTTACCTACACAACGTACATTCGATCGACAGGAGACAGTAGTTTAGTTCAGCGCTTTTATAGCTTACTGGTTAGTTGTTTGTACTGTACTGTAAGTCTTGAATGGTTTCTTTAACCTTTCATCATCAACAGCCTTTACTAGTCCACTGCTGGATGTAGGCCTGTTAGAAAGGAGGTTTTGGCCTACTATACCGCGCTGCCCAGACGGGTTGGTATAGAGTTTGTGTCAAGTTTTCCTTCTCTCTGCATTGCACGTGCGTCTCTCTTACAACAGCCACCGGATGTATACCCACGGGTGGTGACACTCTGTATACTTAGTCCGTCACCACACAGACCTTTAACCATTAATAACTCAAACTTTGATAGTACTTAGACTTTTGCAAAGACAAAAAAAAATCGGTTGTCTGTAAAGTCGGTTTACTGACGATAGTTGAACGTGACAACGTCATAAGAAAATACTGATGGAATGGTTGCATTTTTCAAAAATGTATTATTGTATACGAGTAGCAGCTGTCCACGCGGACGCATCGCTCACTCAAGTAGGAGAGAGACAGATGTCGAACGCTGCCGAACGCGGAGGCCGATTGTGCCTCTTTGTCACTCACGCCTTAAATGGAACGCCTCAGAGCGAGTTAACGCCGCATGAGTCATGTTTTTTCGTGCGTGCAACCGGCTCCATCGAATTATAAGACGTTGTCACGTCAAAAAAGAACGAAAGTAGAAGCAACTGGTCCGTTGATCAAGTTGGTAGCGAGTTTTGAATCATTGTGTGATGACTACGATCATTTGTTCTGTATCTGGGTGTAATTTATCTATAGTATGTATGTATCCGTTCATGTATGTTTTCCATTCCATCCATACGTGTGGTGACGAATTAAGACTACGTATTGTCACCACCCCTATTCATCCCTTGGGTGTCGTAAAAGTCGACTAAAGGAAAAAACTACGCAAGACAACAGCACTGCAAAGAGAAGGAAAACTTGGCCAGCGTGGTATATAGGCCAAAACCTCCTTTCAGAGGACAGGCCTATGTCCCGCAGTGGACAATCATAGGCTGTTGATGTGATGTGTTGTGATGTATGTATTTAGAAATATATAGATACTTTTATGGTGATCAACCTGCTGATAAACGTATGTTTAGCGGATGCCTCGAGTTGAAATATAAAAACAAAATATACATAAAAGAAAAAAGAAGGAACTTTGGTACTTCGAAGGCAAGTCACAAGAATATTATTACATAAGTAAAAGTGAAATCTTTTTCCTTAATAGAAGCAATTACGATTAAATTTACTTCGGCCCGGTGTCGTGTTTAGGTGGCCATATTGTATCTTTATTAAGAACAATTTAGTTCACCGAAATAACGCAATACCACTTTGATTTCCCTCGAGTTTTATATAATCAGAGGATAAATTTGGTAGCGAATTGTGTTTAACTTATCGTGAATATTATTGAACTTGGATATTTTGATCTTATTATACACAGTACAGCAGCACATAAAATACAAATAAACATACATTAATTTCTTTAACAGCCAAATTATACGACCGGATGGCGTAGCGGTTTGTGTAACGGACTGCTATTCCAAAGGTCGCGGGTTCAATTCCCGCTCAAGTCAAACATTTGTCTGCATGAACATTTAATGTTTGATTTGGTCTGGGTGTTTCTATGTATAATAAGTATGTAGATACATATCTACAAAAAAGTATATATGTATTTATATCAGGTGTCTAGTACCCATAGTACAAGCTCTGCTTAGTTTTTGACTAAATGGCGTTTTGTGAGTATGGTTGAATATTATTACTATTATTTGTAGCTTGTAGGGTAGTAATTTAAAAAAAGAAGAGGTACTACTTACTTCTGTACACCGAAGCGGGCGGGGGGAGGTGCCCAACTACTTTCGTACTAGTTTCCTACCGAGGGTGGGCCATGCCTTGGCATATATGGACCACCTCAACCTCATTGTTCCTCCTGAGGTTACCCGGGAGGCTCAAAGAGAGGGAACAAAAGGGCATTATTATATCTAAAGAGTAAAAAATATTTAAAATAACCGAGAACAAAAAAACTCAGATTTTAAACTAGAATAATTCGTTTAAGTTTTATTTTCTGTTTTCGTACCCATCGACTTTCAAAGACTGCAGTGGCCGTGTCAAGCGCTGCACAGTAGAGCTATTTTTACGGAACCTAATAAAAAATATATTATAATAATAAAAAAGTTTATTTAAAACAATTTGATTAGTTACAATATATTAGTCCACCACTAAACCACACCACCGGGATGTCGTTTACAAATGTTTTTTGTTAGCGACACCACCGTAGTGAAGTAACGCAAAACTTATGCATTTATCGAAATCAATTATTTATCATTCGCAAGATCAAGACCATGGCCTTTTAAAGAAGTGTCCAGAAATTACTTTAAAGATAGCAGATGAAGTGAAACAAAGACACGATGAAAAAAAAAAAAGTTATTGTATAATTATCGGATCAAGTTTTATAAATTAATTTAGTTGTTTTTTGTTTTAAAGGATACAGTTGTTGTGTTTACAAATCCTGTGACCTCGACCAATTTCAAGATTATTATTAATAATTAACACATATCAAATTTTTTTTTTTACGTTCGTCATCACTAGTCAGCAGCAGTGGTGTCATTAACAAAACCCTAGTGGTGTGGTTTAGTGGTGTCGTTTACAATACACGTTTAGTTAGTAATAGTCTTCACATTCAGCGACTGGTGTGTGTGTGTGTGAGTGAGCGTGTGTGTGTGCGTGCGTGTGTCTGTGTGTGTGTGAACTTCTCAAGTTTATTAAGGGGATATAGAAGAGCTTCTGTTTCTTCGTAAGAAATTTTTCGATGATATCATGTTATTATTTTCTTAAACTCATATTTAGTTATGTTGTGAAAGTCAATAACTCTACTCATCACTCCTTTTATCTTTCAACAGATGGCAAATGTCTCGCGTGCACCTACAAGGCAAAGTTCATAGAAATATCAGTGGGCATAAATCACAATGTAGACGAGCTAGTCGTGGGAATCTTAAACCAAATTCGTCTTAAACGACAGCAGTACTCCGCGGAAGGTGGCAGGGAATCTTCACCAGCTCACTGGTACAAATCAAGAGGAGTTGTGAGAGCCAGCATGAAGGCGCGTCAGATGTTTACCTGGATCTTCGGTAAGGAAGATTCCAAGTTCAAAAACTGTGAGAACCTTCACGTACTGTGAGTGGAAAATGACGGACCAGTGTTCGTCTAAGATATTGACACTTTTGTGACAAAAGTATTCTGACTTTAGTGTATTGTTTGTTTATAAATGTGAAAATTACACAGCTGTTTATAGCGTCCGATATATTATCCAAATCAAGAAAAATCTTTATATTCAATTGGTAGGATCTATTGTATAATAATTCCTACTGATACTCTGTTTAACACATTTGTTTAGTTGTTGTATCTCAGAACTAGAATGAATTCTACATATTTATGAATCATAGGAAATTACAGAAATTATATCACAATCCAACTTTTTCAATACACCACTGGAAACTTCTAGAATATCGTAGAGTACTGTTCGGGCTTTTCTGGAACATTCGATTAGTTCCATATATCTCAACTTGGAGCGACCGTAACAGTATTAAATGGATAACTACTACATTTTAAATAGACGAGATTATAACTAAGAATATTTAACAACAAAATAGTTACAATCATAGCGCAATTTATTTGGAATGAACAGTCAACATTCCAAGTTCGAATAAAAAACCAAGATCGATGAAATAACCAGCTGTGTTGCCAACCAAAAAAAAAAAATGCCAAATATAAAATTGGCATTTATTAGTCGTTACGTGCCAATTTGAGAGAATTTAATATTATAGTATTTGATAGTTAAGTTAATATTTATTTAGGATAAAATAAGTGTAAGACATCGGTATTTTCCCAAATACTTCTTATATATCATTAATACGACGTATCAGCAATATATAGGTATAAATATAAGCTAAAATTTATCATTTAGATTATATTGTATTGTATAAATACGCTAATATTACTGGACCATACGTAAATATATCCCTTTAAATATATCAAATGTATTGTATTACTAAGGTTAATAAATACAACTATGTATATTATAATGTGTACTTAATAATCCTCTATAAGTATTGGATGTTAACTTTTGTTCAATGTAAACAGTATTGGTTTAAGTATAGCCAAATTTTTGAGAGAATTACGAGAAGTGTCTAAAAAATTATGGCAACAGAGTAACAACCAGCGGAACACGGCGATTAAAAAAATATCACATTATTCTGTAATATTCAGAGACAAGAAATTAGTTTAAAATAACACTTGAGTTTAGATCATTCCAGAATATCATATATATCCAAAATATAACACAAAAACTAATGTGGCTACTTCAATTAGAAGTTACAATATATCAAAAGTAAAATAATAAAAAAACGCCTACAATAATGCGTAGTCTGGTAACGCAGAAAAAAATCATCGTCTTTGTCTATGTGTCTAATGAATGATGACAGACAATGCAAAGATTTAAAAGCCGATCCTTGGCTTTACTTAAACTAAGAATTAATATGAAATATGTAGTTTATTTAGATTATATTGTTCCACATCTGACTATTGTCCCCATTTATATTGTTTGTTGAAATTCAAATTGATCCAGGGTCCACTATATTCCTTCCATCCATGCCAAAACCTACTCATTTATCGTAAAAATAATATATAGCAACTAAACTTAAATATAAGATAGAATTCTACATGAATTATTGAATTTAAGTAAAAAATAATGAAGCCTAAATGCTTTAACATCTTGTATAGTTCATTTTATTCATAACTTTGTACTTTGACTATGTACTAAATGGACTGCACGGATGGCGTAGTGGTTTAAACGGTCACCTCGCCGCTTCCTACTGGGCTGACTGTTGTGGGTTCGAACAACACTTTGTGTAATCCACTAATTTGTGTCCTTTGTGTCCGTTTCATGTATGTTTGTAAAGTCCCCCGCCACACAGGAATATAATCCTAATGCGGGAGTTGTCTATGAAAAAAAAAGGTTAGTCAAAGTGGTAAAATATAGTTTTACGAAGAAAGCTTATTCTCCACATATTTTTTTACTATTTAATGTCTAAAATACTCAATTAAATGTACTATTTTTTCGATGCATATGTTTTAATTCTTATTTCATCTATCCAAATTTATATTTCAATTATCAAGTTTCTTATTAGCTGCTTTACTATGTGTAAATATATGTGTTTTTTATAATAATGTTATTGCTATAAGTGTACATTATCAATGCGAATGCACTTAAGGATTTGATGTTGTATTTAATATTATATATTAAGTGATATATTTACTGGTTACACCATGTATACATTTTAAACAATTTAATTGAACTGACGTGATTGTAAAGTATTTTGGATTTCGTAAAACAAATTCATTTTGGTTATTTTAGTTGAAAAAGGTTGCGAACACAATTTTATCACCAACAGTATATAGTCCACTGCTGGACATAAGTCTTTCCTTAGAAAGCAGGTTTTAGCCTAATTTACCACGCTAGCCAGACGGGTTGGTATAGGTTTTGTTTCAAGTTTTCCTTCTCTCTGCAGTGCTGTTGACCTGCGTGGTTTGTTCCCTTGAATAGGGGTGGTGATTATCCTTCTGTAATTATTAACGATTAGATACTTCGGTTATTGATTTTTAAGACCATAATCAAAAAATATAAACAACCACGTTATTTAAGTTGTACACTTATATCCTACATGTTTCTTTGACTTTACTACAAAACTTTACGACTGATTGACACCAAATTATATTATGTAATCTTATATATTCTATATCTTTTGAATTAAGATTCAAAATAGTGCCTTTTTATTGTTAAAGAATATCATTACACCTGTGCTATTTTTTTAATAATTTCTGCATGTATTTTAAATGGAGCTTCAGGTGTCATATTATTAGACATTCTCATTATTATTAATTTAAAGGTATTTACACGTTCATAATTAAGTACATTAATTCATATAGTGTTGTTTAATTTACATACATGAAAAGAAAGCACCGATAATCGATTTCACCTCATGTAGACATTAGCCTGCTGGGCAATGCTAATAATGACCACTTCGCCCGTCAAATTTTCGAACTCATTTAGTCAGGTTTAGTATAATCTTATATAATGGCATTTTGTAAATATAATATTACTAGTCTTTAATATATTATATGCATTTTGCATAATCTATGAGCTTTCTATTATATTAGTTGGCCTAGGCAGATGTTGAAGTGGTAAATTCTGAGGGCTACGGGGAAGCCCAAGTCATTCCTCGCATTTGTTTTACGGTCAAAAATATTTTCTCATTCAATTTTGTGGAAGAATCTTTTGATATTTGTAATTGATTAGTTTTAAGCCCTTTAATTCATTATTACGAAGGGAAAGAACCTAACAGCTGGTGATAAAAATGAGCCTTAAAGTTGATTTTGCTGGCCAGCAATAGTCTATGGCTATAGATTTTGAAGCGCTCAGCGCCATCTATTAGCAGTTCCTGCTATCGACGATCATCTAATTGTAAGATTAGGTACATATAGTTCTTCCCTTTTGAGAAGATGACAAGCTTAATATGTGTGGTCAATAAAAATAAACCGTTAGCCACTTTGCCCGAGTAATTTACCACTTTGACCTACCAGAGTATGTGGGCCTTTAGGAGTATTATCATTATTGTAACATATTGTAGCTAGTGTTTACTGTAAATAAATTGATTGACAATAAATTTGATTAATTTATGTGTTTAAAAATAATTTCCTTTTTAACATAGGCTTGACATTTTTGTCTAAGCGCTTTCCATAGTCTATGAACGACAAAGTTTAACACTGTTTGCGACCAATAAAACTTGACTATGAAAGTAAAGGTAAGTGTATACTTAAAAGAGGTATTTAACATTAATTACAGAGACTTTTATTTAAATTGATTTATAATGGTCTGCGTCCTCTCGAATGATATTTTGTTAAATCAGCATTTAAAAGAAGAAATATTGTAGTAAGTAAGGTCGTTTCTTTTATTCGCTGTGCAAATTCTACGTGACTGGAATAGGTAAGTATTGATCAAGAGAAGGTGAGTACACCTGTAGCATATTTTCTATAAATCCTTTAAGATTTTTTTATTTAGTCCATGTGTCCACAGACGAAATTGGGCGGGTCTGGTCAGAAGTAAATTGCCAGGCCTTATCCATTGCCAGGCCCCGGGCGGGTTAATTATTATGAGGCCCTTGTCTTTGTGGCATTAGTTTTAATGATGTTACTTAAAACAGTGAGATGACAAATGATAAGAGTAGAATGGAAGAATCATACTTACTGCGCCGACCCCTAATAAAATTGGGATAAGGGTAGATGATGATGATGATGATGATTTGAAACAAATAATGCAACGCAACACAAACTGCTGCTCGAACATAAAAACATAAGCCGACAACAGTCAACACTGGGAGACTGTCAAATTGACAAGCAAAATGAAACACTGGAAATCCCCGTTGTTACGCGAGTATGCGAGGCCCTAGGCGATTGCCCTTTTTTTTTCCGTGCGGAAATCCCCTCGGATACGACCTATCGGTGGCATGTCGGACTCGAACCGACTAAAAACGCACGCCGTCTCGGGTACTAATAGCCGGAGAAACAGGTATACCCTAGAAAGGAAGTCCCTTGTGCGCTAGGCGATTGCCCTGCTCGCCACCACTAAGGCCGCCCCTGCGTGTCAGCTAGTACGTAATATTACGGGTCTGTCGGTAGTGGTTGGTAACACTGACTGATTTTCGCCCAGCAAAAATATTGTATAATGAGCACCATCATTTGTTCTGTTCTGTGTAAGGCTTGAATTCTATTACGTAAACAGGACTAAAATTTTAGTCAGTAAAATGCCTCTGTTTACCCCTTAGGGGACAATAGACGTGAGTGACAATAAGAAAAACTGAAGTTCCTTAACCGACACCGCAAATAAAAATTGTTATGTAAAACTTGTTCGTATTGTCAGAAGATGTGTCGTTTTACACAAGAATGTTACTGTAGATACCCAAGCCTCACCTCCCCCCAACCTCTCCCCCAAACTTTGATGAACTGTGAGTCTTACATTATTAAGTGAAAACATGAAAGTAACATTCTCCAATATTACATTTCGTAACATATTATGTGTTGAATCTCAATATGTCTGAATATCTTTTGTTCTGAGTGACACTT